TAAAGCTAATGCCCTGTTTCAGACTTTATTACTTAAGGCATTTAATTCTTGAGGCATGATATATACACCAGGAATTTCTCACTAGGGCTTTACAGGGATTCTTCAATAGCAAAAGCAATGAGTGGAGGCCTAAGTTTAGTTGCAGAAACCATCATAAGTTAAATGGCTCCTTTAGGTTTCAGATGAACCTGGAATCAATATTCTCGATCACATATTTGGGGCAGCACAGTGGCTCAGTTCTTAGCATTTCGGCCTTTTTCTGGGGTGCTATCTGTAGGAGTTTTTTATGTTGTTCCACTGAGTTTCCTTCGGGGGCTCTAGTTTCCTCACACAACCCAAAGGCATATCGGTTGGTTAACTGGTGTGAGTGCGTGTTGGTGTCGGCACAAACAATGCCCAATCTGCATCCCATCCAGGGATGTGCTGGTTTTTGCTGGGATAGACTCCAGCTTCCCCTGCAGCCCTGTATTGGATTAAAGCAGTTAGAAAATGGATGGGGTCCATATTTAACATTAATCCAGTTAAACATGGATGGCACCATTGGTTGGCAGTGCAGCCCCAAGAACTCTGTAGCCTGGGGATGTGTCTGTGCAGAGTTTGCATGTCCTTTCTATGTGCATGTGTGTTTCGACTGGGTGCTCCAGTCTCTTCCCACTTCCCAAAGACCTTCTGGCAATGTTTGATGGGCTGTTCTAAATTGTCCTGTATGGACCTGAGATGGACTGGCTTTTTATCCATGGCAGAAAGGTAGTACCCTCTCAGTACCCCCTAGTGCCCTGTTCTATCACAATAAGGTCTGATTTGCCCCAGTGATCACCAAGAGTATGTTACCAAGAGATGAAGAGTGTTAAATCAGACATCTCCATCCCTGGTGAGCAGCAATCTTGAGATTCCTATAGATCATCTTTAATTTAAAGATTAGGAATAGTTGTTTAAGCAATTAATCAGTTAAGCAAGTAATGTTTCAGTGATGAGAATACAAGTGTCTGAGACTGGGGCTCCCTAGGACAAGGGTGGGAGATCCCTGAATTAAATGCATCAGGTGTTTTATGCATTGAGGCCTCACAGACAGCCTAGCGTGTACCACTTAAGCAAATGACTGATTAATCAGCATTCAAAGCTGAGCTGGAGCACAAATAAAAAGACTGTAGCTCCCTAGGTCATGGTTGTAGAGCCCGAGGTTAAGGAAAACCACACTTTTCTTCAGTTATAAAAAGGAGCTCTTAATGTCTGTAGGTCTCCCTCCCTTAAGATGGCACAGCGTCCTCAGTATCAGCTCTGGCTGCCCTGTCCACCTGTGGACGACTTCCTCTTCGTCCTGTGGTGCAGTATTTTTCCTGGACAGCGGGTTCCAAGGGGCGAGGACTTGTGCTCGTCCTTTTCCCAGATTTCCCCAGATTCCCCATCGTCTCTTGGCCTGTACAGCGACTTTTTCGACCCCGTGACCAGCGCTCTGCCCGCCTCCCAAGACAGTGCCCCTGGTGGCGCCCGGGAGTCCTGCAGCCTGCAGCTCCGGTGCTTCGATTCGTGGGCGGACCTGGAGACCGAGGTCAGCCGGTGTGTCCTGAGTGGCGCCCGCCGGACCAGCCCACCCCACCGGATCCCCGCCCCCTGCATCTCCCGCCTCTCGGACTACAGGACATCCGGAAACATGGGGGCGATTTCAACGAATGACTTCCTCTACCAGATGTTTGGGTTTGACAACCGCAGTTCCCGGCTGGTGCAATAAAAACCAAAAAACTCCCAAAATTATAAAGTTGAGGTTTTTCTGTCTGTGATGATCCCTGCACGGTAAAACCAGGCCTCAGCAAAGAAACTGCATGCATGAGGAAGAACACCAGGCACAAAACACTATACTGTAAAAAGGCGC